GTGAAGACATTGTGGCTGGTTTGGTTTGAGAAATCATTTCTCATGTTCCACTCTCTCCTTGATCTGCCCCATTCACTGTTGTCTCTATTTTCTTGGGTGTTGGCATTTATAACTTAAAAGTCTTTTCTCATTTTAGAGAGGTTTCATGAGGGGACAGAAATAAACAAATGTGTCCAATTCACCATGTCTCAGCAGAAGAATTAAATAGCATTTTGACATGTTGAGTTTCATATACCCATGGGGTGTCTGGTAAAACTGTTAGGCAGGCAGTTGGATAGATGAGGGAGAAGCTTGAGGGGCATTCTCATTTTGAGTGGTGTCCACAGAAAGCACTGGTTAAAGTGACGAGACTACTCTTTAGTGTGTGGAAGTGTGATAAGCTGTGAACCAAGGATAGAATCCTAGAAGAATTCTAGAAGATCCATGAAAACACAAATGACAGAAGACAAGGAGGCATCAATAAATTTACCAAAGGGGCAATGTCAGCATGTCAGAAAGGTCAATAAAGATGAAGACAATTTTTTTCTTTTGAATTTAGAAATATGGAGATTATTAATGATTTTAGCACGATGATATGCACAGAAGTCAGAATGCATTAAGAAAATGAAAACCGTCTTTTTTGCTTTCAGAAACTGCTGACAGAGCAATAATAGAGGGTGTTCAGTGGTTTCTGAAGCAGATTAACTGGTTGGTGGACTTTTTCTGTTGCCTCCACCTTGGATGCTAAAGACAATGGATTTTTAAATACCTAATGAGGAATGCACTTCCTTGCCTTTGGATAAGCTGTATGAAGACATTTTGGCTGGTTTGGTTTGAGAGATGATTTCTCATGCTCCACTCTCTTTTCAGGGTTGGTGTGAGCAAGCCAGACTGTGTGGGGCTTTAAGTTCTGGATATGACTAATGAAGCTGATACTGTTAATCATGCCTTTCTTCAGTTGTATATGTGATTAAATGTTTGCAAGAATATAGAGATAGTGGAGTGTAGGGGTTACACTAGAATAAAACCTAAATTCTGTTCTTAAAGTCTCTGAGGGAGCCAAAAACACAGCACTTGGTCTCCTTGAGTTCTGAAGAAATTGAGAAATGACAGAAGAGCAAGGCAGGGGGACAGCAAAACATCAGCTTGATTAACAAGGGAGGCTGAGCTAGAACGGTGCTTTTCCTTTTGGGCAAATGGGCTTCCTATGACTGATACCCAAGTTGAGCCGACTTGCTCAGCAGTCCTCAGGTCCACGCAGGGTGCAGAGAGGTACCCAGAGCTGAGACAAAGCAAGGCCCTAAAACACAGGTTGGCTTTCAATACCCACCACCAGCCTGTACCTAATCCCCCTTCAAACCACTCTGACCATCGCTCACTGGCCCCCAGCCATGCTGGCTTCCATCTGCGTTGTCTCCTGTTAATGGCCTTTACAGTCACTGTTCTGCCAGGAACTCTTTTTCCTAGACACTGTCTGATGCCCTCGGATCTGCTCAGATGTCACCTACTCAGGGGGGCCTTCCCTGACCACCTATCTCAAATAGTGCCACTGCTTGACCCCTTCCTCTCTATTTGGTTTATCCGGCTTTGATTTTCTTAAAAGCTCTTGCCTGTCTCTGTCAGTTCATGAAGGCAGATGCTGTCTGTTTTATTCATTGTATGAGCTAAGGATATATTCAGTGAATGAGCTGATGGTTCAGTTTACTTGGAGTCTGTTCCAGCTCAGCTGCCTGGAGTGTTACTGCTTGCAAAGTGGCCCAGTCAGCATGGGCCTCTACTGAAGTGCTACACTAACTCCTTTTAAGAGTGGAGGTAGGCTGAGGTGCAGTGGCTCATGCCTGTAATCCCAGCACTTTGGGAGGCTGAGGAAGGCGAATTGCTTGAGCCCAGGAGCTCAAGATCAGCCTGGCCAATATGGTGAAATCTCATCTCTACAACAAGTATAAAACTTAGCTGGGTGTGATGGCATGCATTGGTGGTCCCAGCTTCTTTGGAGGATGAGGTGAGAGAATCACTTAGGCCTAGGATGCAGAAATTGCAGTGAGCCAAAATTGTGCCACTGCACCCCCACCTGGGAGACAGAGTGAGGCCCTGTCTCAAAAAAAGAGTGGAGGTGAAGCTCGAATGAGACAATATATGGAAGGTTGCTGAGAAATGTACCAGAAGAGTGGAAGCAAGCGCTATAGAGGTTACTGCTGCAAATAGTAGTCTCTCTCTTAGAAGCAGGGAGGTTTCTTGTCACGTCAGGGAGTGGTGGTTAAACTGATGACATTGCCGAATTTACTAGAATTATCCCCATATAAAATGCTCTCATTCATTGTTCTCAATCTTATCCTTGTGTTTGCCACACTGTGTATCCTAATGTTTTTATTGGAACATTTTAATTAGAGTAGGCAATCAAATATAGGCAATTCTAAGAAGAAAAGGGCCACACTGACTTGAGCAAAGCTAACAAAAATTTCCTAGTTGAAGACATTGACTTTGCCATGAGATTTTAATGCCCTAAAGAGTAGAGAGCTTCACTTATCCCACACCCCGCCCCCCACAAAAGTAATTTTCGAAATGGAAAGAAGTAAACTACAAATCCATTATGAAACAATCTGTGGGCCTGTAATTTTTTACTTCTTTATAAATAAACATACCTTTAAATCACTTGCAATTTCAGTAATCCTGCAAATGGTAAGACAAAACAATCAAGTTTATTCAGATTCTACTTTTATCAACAGTTACACTGAGGCAGATTTTGTTACATTCTGTCATTTATATAGCAGTTAATGGTAAGTACCTGGACTTGGGCATCCCTTAGATGAGGCTTCAAATTCCAGCTTTGCTACTTAACAGCTGAGGGGGCATGAGAAATTTAACCAGGAACTGAGTTTGCTCATATGAATATGTCTTACATAAAGCTCTGGTCTTAGAGCTTGTCTGAGAATAGTGTCACAGTCAAGAAAACATAGTGCCAATGACAGACAGCACAGGTTTTCTTGACTGTGACACTATTTAACAAGGGAGCCCATTTAATTGTATTTAGCCTAGACATTCCCAAATGTTTTTCCTTATAACATCTGTTAATATGTTACGGAATTGGTATTCCATAAAGGACCCCGTGGGAAATCCTGGCTTGCAATGATACCAGACATATTTAATGTAAGAAATCAATTTTGCTTCCCTTTTCCAGTTTAGTGTCGGCCAGTCAGAATTTTCACCTGGACGCCTACCCAGCAGCTTAAAGTAGATCTCTTGGGGTTTTGTGCCTTCACGCCCTCCATCCCAGCTCCTTCCATAGTCTTCCCAATCTCCAATAATGACCCCACTATTCATGTATTAGTTTCCTAGGGATGCTGTAACAAAATACCACCATTTGGATGACTTGAAACAGAAATTTATTGTCTTACAGTTCTGAATGCTAGAGTCTAACATTAATGTGTCATGAGGGCCGTGCTCCCTCCGAAACTTGTAGGCTAGGATCTTCCCTGCCTCTTCTAGCTGTTGATGTTTGCCTGGCACTCCTTGGCTTGTAGATGTGTCACTTAGTGTCTGCCTCTGTTGTCACATGGTATTCTCCTCTATAGTTCCCTCCTCTTATTATAAGGACTTGTGTTATGCTGGATGAAAGCCCTGCCCTACTCTAGCTCCAGTATAATCTCATTGTAGCTAATTAATAGGTTGGTGCAAAATTACTTTTAATTAAAAGTAATGGCAAAAACTGCAAATACTTTTGCATCAACCTTACTACGTCTGCAAAGACCCTATTTTCAAATAAGGTCGTATTCTGAGGTGCTTGGAGTTAGGACTTCAAAATCTCTTCAAGTGCGCGCATAACAATCCATGCAGGCACCTGTTTTCTGCCCAGAGTGATGCCTTTGTACTGCTTTGCTTTCCCTCGGCCATTTTATCTGGTCTATGAGCAAATACTCTTAGATCTGCCTTCAAAGTGTAGCTGACCCTTTCTCATTACCTCCCCTGCTACTCCTTGACCCCAGCCTTTGTCATCTCTCCTGGATTATAATCTCGGCATCGTATTAGGTATCCTGGTTCCATCCTGATTCTCCTTAGGTCTACTTGTTAGATAGCAATGACAGCAATCATGTCACAGAGTAAAACAGTTGCTATTCCTGCCTTACGCAAAACCCTCTGATGGTCTCTCATTATCATTAAAGTAAAATGCTAACACCGATGAAGGAAGATAAGTCTCTCCACGCTGGGCCATATCCATCTCCCCAGCCTCACTGTGTACCACCCACTCCCCAATTGACGGTGCCCACAAACCACAGTAAGCACCTGCCTGTACTTCAGGGCCTTTGCACTGTTTCCTTAAGGCTGGCTCCCTCTCATCTCAGATCATCTACCCAGAGATGTGTTTGCCACTCATTGTTAGCTGAAACACTTGCACCCCATCTGGCAGAGACCAGAGAAAGTTTTTTTTTTGTTTGTTTTAAAAATTATTTTTATTGATTACTTTTTTTTTTTTTTGAGACACAGTATCTGTCACCCAGGCTGGAGTGCAGTGGTACAATCTCAGCTCTTGCAACCTCGGCCTGCTGGGTTCAAGTGATTCTCATGCCTCAACCTCATGAGTAGCTGGGATTACAGGTGTGCACCACCAGGCCTGGCTAATTTTTGTATTTTTAGTACAGAAGGGGTTTCACCATGGTGGCCAGGCTGGTCTTGAACCCTTGACCTCAAGTGATCTGCCTGCCTGGGCCTCCCAAAGTGCTGGGATTACAGGTGTGAGCCATCACGCCTGGCTTAGAGAGAGTTTTGTCACCAGTCATGAAGCAAAGCTCTCAGGAAAAAAAAGGAGAGAAACAGGAAACAGTTAGCTGTCCCTGGGAGGGAAAGGATCAATAAGTAATGGGTCCCCCCAAATCAGATTTATATACGAGTCACAATTTAAACAAATGATTTTCTTGTGCCAATCTGAATTTGGAAAGGAAATTCCCACCTAGAAGAAGAGCTCTGAGAGGGCTGATTTTGGTAAGAAAACAAAAAAAAAAAAAAAGCAAAAAAAAAAAAAAATCTTAACTTTTGTTGTGTTTTATTAGTTGTCCCAGGATCTCATCTGCAGGTTCTGGAACTAGTGGGGAATCTCAGCCACTCCATGTTGCCTGCCAGAAACTGTAAGGGGAAAAAAAGAATCTTTTTCTCATCCATCATAAGGTTCACAGCTGAGACCCCTGTAACAAATAAAAAGAAAAAAAAAAAACAAAACAGATTAAATGAGAGAAGTATAAAAGTTGTATTTAAGTTTCCAGTGACACAGAATCCTTCAGAATTCAAAGCCCCACAGACCCAGGTAAAACTGTGTGTCTTTAGGGACATTGTGCAGAGGTGTGATTGGAGGACAAAGGGTGTGATCTAATGGTAATGAACCAGGGAACTCATCAAGGCCTGGTGGATCAGATTCTTTTCAGCCTCAGCCTGACGTTCCTTCCCTCTGGGTATAGGGCAGGACCCTTCTGGAATGAGGGTCTTATGACCTACTTTCAGGGGAAGTAGGTCAGAGAATTCTTTCATGGCCAGCTCTCGGGAGAAAAAGGTGGGAAAAGGTCAGAGAGCAGCCTTCCTGCTTCTGCTGTTCTCTCAATTTCCTGCAGTTTAAAATACTATGCCAAGGTGCTGTTATTTTGGGGTATCATGTTCTTAGCCCTCACACCTCTGTTCCTTGCTTTACCACTTATTAACTGTGAATCTGGGCAAATCACTTAAATTCTCTGAGGATCAGTATTTCATGTATAAAATAAGATGACAAGGTAAGGTTATTTCTAACCCTTACCTACCTGGTTAGAAATAAAAACATAAAGAATCAGCATAGTTTGTTTTACATAGTAAGCGTTCAGTATTTGGTAGCTATTAACTAATCTCATGAGCACAATGGTGGCTTTAATCACAGGCATGACCCTTCTGTTTCAAAACTGTTGAAAACATTTGGGGATAATGTCTACATTTTACTTGCCACCACATGCCCACTTAAATTTCCCTTCTGGTTGGAGTGGGATTTCAAGGTAAAGCTCCAGACTATGGTGTCAAGATTATATTATTTTCTCCTGTTCCTGATTTCTCATTCTCTCCCTGCCACGTACCTCTAGTTTCCTTTTCCTGCACATCCAAGGCTATGGTGGCAGAGATAAGGATGACTAATTGATGAGAGAGATTAGACACCACTGTCTGATGCCAGAGAGGGGCCTGTGAAAAGGAGACAGGTGCACCTCAGTGCCGCTTCAGCAAAAGGTTGCCCTTGACCTGCGTGTCACGAGTGTGTCCTCCCTGGAAAAAGAGTACTTCAGTAGTGTTGTCCAGGATGTCAACATAGTAAGACTTTGTCCCTTAAATAAATAAACTTCTGGGCTCAAGTGATCCTCCCACCTCAGCCTCCCAAAGTGTCGGGATTACAGGCATGAGCCAGTGCTCCTGGCAATAACTTAATTGCAGCTACATGGTTATTATATGAAAGATACATTTCCTTTGATTGAAGTAATTGATAGTGTAAAGTGGGGACATGGAAAGGAGTGAAGGGGAGAACATAAGCATGGTTTAAATACCTGTTCTTTGTTTCTTTGTCCTGATTGTGCAGGTTTTGTTTCTGATTCTGTTTTCATTGGCAAGACACACACCTCCAGAGGTATTTTCAGGTTTATTTTCTTGAGGTCTTGCAAACCTGATGATGTTACTGGTAGATCATATAGGGGAGACCCGGCCAGGATTTTCCCTTTTTGTCTCTTCTGCTGGTCAGGTCGATTGGAATTGGAGTGTGAGCTGCTGGAAAATAGCATCTAGCTCATTTTAACAATAATGAAGCTGAGGCCAATGTGTGCAGGTAAATGTTTAACATTGGATCTCTGGGGGGAGAAAAGCCCTGATTTGTGGTGTTAGCTGGTTACTGTGGTGTAAACACTCCTACCACAGTTAATTTCAAGCTACCAACAAGATTACTTAACATGTAGTAGGAAAAAGATGCCCAGAAGTAAACCATCATATGTATAATTTGTCTACCAGACAGATACAAAAAACATAACTCTAGATCACAGATAATAGTAAAATGTAGAAAAATCATCAGGAAGTGAGTTTTGAGAGCTTTGAACATATGTTTTAAAATGTAATTTCTTCAGTAAGTTATAACAGTTTAACAGTGGATCTGTTGAACAACTGACTCGACATTTCTGAAAATTCAACCATCAGCTCTCTTGTTCTGGCTTTAGCATATCAAGTGGGACCCAGAGAAGTTGCCATCTTACACAAAGTCCCCTGATGAGTCATGGCAGGACCTGGATTATTACAGAGCTGTTTCTAAAAACCAAACTTCTCCAGACAGATTTACTTATCAATGTTTCTGTTTATTCATTTGTCTTATGGCATCCTCTAGCAATCTATGAAAGGGATTTGGGACTATTACAGGCTGTTACTATCTATTGAGACAGTATGAGTCAGAATATTTGAATATATCTAGAACAAAGGTAGGAGAGCGGGCCAGGCATGTTGGTTCATGCCTGTAATCCCAGCACTTTTGGAGGCCTAGGTGGGAGGATCACCTGAGGTCAGGAGTTTGAGACAAGCCTGGCTAATGCGGTGAAACCCAGTGTCTACTAAAAATACAAAAAATAGCTGGGTGTGGTGATGGGTGCATGTAATCCCAGCTACTCAGGGGTGGAGGCAAGAGAATCACTTGAACCCAGGAGGCAGAGGTTGCAGTGAGCTCAGATCACACCACTGCACGTCAGCCTAGGCGACAGAGCTAGACTATCTCCAAAAAAAAAAAAAAAAAAAGGAATTATGGAAAGTGTGTAAAGATGTTTTAGGCTGACTGTGCTGTGGGCACCATGGTAACCTCTGTGACCTGCACAGACACTCTAGATGAGTTCCTGGAACTGGAAAGCCTGAAGTAACTGGAAGACCACAAAAAGGGGAAGAATGATCATTCCCTGTGGTGCCTAATTAAATTGAGACTTTGTTCTATCGCACCTTATTCGCACCTCAACTGATAAGACAATTGGACTTTGTAACTGACCTTGGTCAACCTCGTGACTCCAGACCCTACAACCCCCTCCCAGCTTGGAAAAACTACCCTAAACTGTAGCTTCTGTAACTTTCCACTGCCTATCCCAAACCTATAAAACCAACTCCTATCCCACTGCCTGCAACTGACTCTCTTTTCAGACTTGGCCGGACCGTGCCCGGGTGAATAAATAGCCATGTTACACAAAGCCTGTTTGCAGGGGTCTCTTCATTCAGAGCACATGTTTTAACAGAAAGCAGATGAGATTTAGAGCCATAAGTGAATTCTGGCTTTGAGTCTTGGCCTTGCCATCTTGATCAAGTCAGTTACTTCCTGGTTAAAATTTTCTAGCCTGAAGATGAAGGAATTGGACCACATGAACATTTAATATCTTGTAGGTCTAAAATATCATGGTTCATTAGATTCATCAATTCAATAATATTTGCTTAGTACAAACTATATGCACTCTCATTATCAACTATAGGCCAGGAAGAATGAAATACAGATACATTATAGCATCTTACATTTATGCGGAGCCTTCTGATTTGCCAAAGAGAAAGTTTACTTTGAGTCTCTGGGATTCTGTGGCTTTAGGAGATCTGGACACATCTTAACAGAATGTTACAGAAAGAAGAAGCTATTCTAGAAGTACAAATAGAACCTTATTCCTAGGAAACAGAAGAGGTCATAACCAGGTAGTAATAAGAAATAAGCACTTTTTTTTTTTGCCATGTCTAGCAGTTGTTTCACTTTGCTTTTTAAAACAAAGCCCTAAATTATTTCTAAGTATAAGATTTTTATAGAAAATTTAGAGATTAAGAAGTATTAAATAAGGAAAAAATGCTATATATCCAATCTAATATCCTGGTTTTCTTTACCTAAGAACATTTTATCATATTTTTCAAAACATTCTTAATAGAATCATTTTAATTGCTATATATATATATATATATATATAAAATAATTTTATCTTTTTGGTGTATAGTAACTTATCTGATGTCTTACTGTTGGAAATTTTATTTTTTGACAGTTTTAATTCTAAAGAGCACTGTGGATAAATAGCTTTGTTCTATGTCAATTATACGTTGGACACATGATTTCCAACTTTAATATTTAAGGTTTAGTAAGACAATTTTAGCAAATTACAGACTTTTGACCTTTAGATTCTTTGATTCTATCAATATTGCTTTGTGTTTACCTAGATTTTGTTCTGTTTCTAAACATTTATTAAGAGGAACATTTTATTTGAATTCTTCAATATGATATGTTTGAACCAGAAATAGCACCACTGTTTCGATATTAATTCAAGTAGGTGTGACAAAGTGTCGGGTTAACAGTTTTCTTTTTTAAGTTTCTGTGGGAGATATCCTCTAATACAAGGTTTGTTGGTTTAGAAATTGCTCAATATATGTTCAATAAACAAAAAGATTCATGCTAACTTAGGATAGGCAAAAACATATGAGAGGGTGTTAAAAAAAACACAAAACCCACTTCTCCATTTATGATACTAGCTTTCACTCTCTTAAGGAGAGATAACAGCAGCAAGCACAGTTCAGGAATTCTGGCTTTTGAATGAAAACTGTGAAATGAAATACGTCGGTGCTTTAATTCACCTGCGTGGGAAACCGTGACTCAAATAGTGATTTGATTAAATGTTAATGAGATCTAAGTTGACCCAATTCTTACTTTCATGTATTAGATTTATATTAATTAAAACAGGACCAGTTTTACCTCTTTGTTTAATATCTTTGAGACAACATCTGCTTACAAGGGAAGTGCTGTAACTACCCTGGTTATTTAAATATTAATGGCTTCCATTAAAGGGGGCTAGGGATTGGCAGCAGGAAGATGGAGAAATTGGATGGCATGATTCATAGGTTTCTGTCTCCAGGAAAAAAAACCTCTTATTCGAAGAGCTGCTTCCATTATTTTTTTAAATAGTGCATGCGTATATATATTATTGTTTTTTCTGAACCAGTTAGAGAGTAAGATTGTTTATTGCAGGCATCCCTTGAAAGTAGCTCTGCTATAAAAGCATCAGTGTAAACAAGTTCACATAATTTTAAAAAATGTTTTAACAGAGCCAGAGAGGTCATTACCCTGGAGCTCCTTGGGAACCTAATTTCAGTTCCTAAATTCATTTTGTTCTTTATTATAGTCAATAACAGGCAAAAGCATGTTTCAGGTCCATACTGGATTTGGTTGGCCTTATTTACATTAAGTGTGGGGAATTCTATTAAGTTAACTGAGAGACGTGACAAGGGTTATATATTCAATCACATTATAATTATAAACCTTTATCTTATTGGGGAAATGTGCCTAAAAAGCTTTAAAAATTTGCTACAACCAATATTTTTATGTTATGCCAAATTGGGTTGTAATAAGCATGTGGTTAAAATATTTTTACACATTACGTATTTTTAAGATGTTCTAATGGCTTGGCATTTTAAAGCACTGAACAAAAGCAGGCATTGTATTTGCATAATTGTGTATCTCTTTTTTCATCCAGAAATGTGAGTGTGTGGAATACTAACTCATTTCATGTATTTTATTTGGAATTTACAGCTAAGAACGTGAGTAATTTTTCATGCTTAAATAGCAGAAGTGCAGAGTCATATAATGGCCCTGGTGTGCTGTTCTAATTTCCTGCTTAGCAAGGCCAGGATTAGGGTGAGACAAGAGAGGCACTGCCCCAGATGTAAAACTTACTGTCAAAAAAAAAAAAAAACAACTCAACATCAATAGTATTTTAATGTAGTAGTTAAACAACTGTGTCATACTGAGAAAAGTTAACGATGGTAAAAATGGTCAGCATTTTAGGTGAAGCTGGCCCTGCATCTGCACCTCCCTTGCTTCTCCCTAGTCCTGGTCTTGACTGCGGTCAAGTCCTGGTTTCTCTGCTTTCATGTCCTTGCATGAAGACACTCTATCGATTCAAATTTTCCTTATCTGAACTTGTTGACAATAATCCTCACTTTCCTAGTATCAAGGAGTTTCTCCTTGGCCAAATTTTAGTTAGGCTTCTGAATCTTCTACTATGCCCATTTGTGTACTTCCTTGTAATGCTCGGTTTTAGCAAAGGACACTGCTCAGTTGTTTTATGAAGAACCACCAAGACCAACATCTGATTGCCTCAGTGTCTGACCAGGTTTCTCATCCTGTCTGATCACCCTGGCCTGTCTTCAGCACGAATCCTGTTAGGTCAATTTAGCCAGATCCGCCTTACCCCAGTGCTTCCTTTGAGTAATTTTTCATCCAATGACCCCCACAGTGCTCTTTGGCTATAAATTCCTGCTGGCCCATGCTGGGTTTGGAGTTGAGCCCAATCTCTCTTCCTTGCTGCAAGATCCTGTTGACTGCAAGGTCCCTATGCCTGTCTTTATCCTGATAAAGTCTTGGTCTCCACGCTTTTACAAATAACATTCAGTCATTTTTTTCTTTAACACTGGTGAAATCAGGAGATTTAAATCAGCTACAAATACATGGGAAAGCCCACTATAAATATCACTCACATATTGATGTATATGTAAGTCATTATACAATTTTATACTGTCATTATCATGCCAGATGAATCCAGATGAATATTCTAAGCAAACACCAGATTTGAAGATCTTTGGAAGGCTTTGTGCTAATAGTTTGGGGCCTAATGTCTTGAATTTACTTATCAGCTAGCAATAAGGGGAGAGTCCCAAGGAGAGTTGTAGGACCCTTCCTTTCAGTTTGTTGCTGCTGTTGCTGTTGTTCTTTGATACAAACTGGGAGTTAGAAGAGATAGAGGACATAACCAGAAATGCGTTGCTTCTTTGAAGTTTCCCGGCAAAGTATGCATGCATGCCTGAGGTCTCACCTTTGCTTAAGCTCTTTGCGCCCACCTGTGATGCCTTTCCCATTTCTCCCACCTCTCTGAGAAACATTCACCTTGTATCCACATCTGACTTTGGTAAGGTCTCTCAATGATCTCTTAGCCTGAAATGTGTTGTGATCCCTCTGCCCTTCCGTGGTGACATAATGGTTTCTCCCACCCATTTATGTTCTTGTGGTCCTGAGGCTTTATCTGACCCTCCATTGAATTTGCTTTCCATACTGAATCTTTAAAAATGTGAGTGATTCACACCTATAATCCCAGTACCGTGGGAGGCTGAGGTGGAAGGATTGCTTGAGCCCAGGAGGCCAAGGCTGCAGTGAGCCGTGATTGTGCTACTGCATTCTAGCTTGGGCAACAAGCAAGACTCTGTTTAAAAAAAAAAAAAATGGTAGTTTAAAAATTACTGACATTGTAAATCCTTGAAGAATCTCCCATTAACCTGTGAATGTAAGGGTGTGCAGGGATTGAGTGTGCTTATTTGTGGTGCTATCCAAGGTGCTTGCAAGGGGTCTTTACACACAGTAATTTTTTAAGTGAATAAATGAATTTCTTGCATGTAAAAGGGCCAGGTAAATGTTTACTCTTTTGAGTAAATTTTACTCTTTTGATTCATTTGTGGAATGCTCTTTTTATCCTAGACCTGCTGCCATGTGGAAGGTGATTGTTTTGCTGGTTCTGTTGACGCCTGGCTCCTGTGATGGACTGCTGGGCTCCCTATACAGAAGTGTTCCCATGCCACCTAAGGGAGATGGAGGACAGCCATTATTTCTTACCCCTTACATTGAAGCTGGGAGTATCAAGAAAGGTAAGGAAGTTTAATTAAATGAGAAAACCACTGCTATGAATTCAACAGTTTTTCTTAAAACAGGTAATCCATAGAATGCAAAATAGATTTTAGTATTTTTACTGAGTCATTTTGTTTCAAAAATATGTAATTTTTTTTTTTTTTTTTTTTTTTTTTTTTGAGAGTTTTGCTCTCTCACCCAGGCTGGAGTGCAGTGGCGTGATCTCGGCTCACTGCAGTCTCCGTTTCCCGGGCTCAAGCAATTATCCTGCCTCCCGAGTAGCTGGGATTACAGGGGCCCACCACCAGGACTGGCTAATTTTTGTATTTTAAGTAGAGATGGGGTTTCACCATGTTGGTCAGGCTGGTTTTGAACTCCTGACCTTTAGTGATCTGCCCGCCTCGGCCTTCCAAAGTGCTGGGATTATAGGCGTGAGCCACTGCTCCCGGCCTATTTCAAATATTACTGACTTGATGTCATATGTTATCTGAGTTTTTAGCTAAAATTAGAATGAGCCAGGGCTGAATTACCTGCATGGTTGAGTTGCAGCATTTCATTTATAAGACTACTCCAGTGCTTGTCCCCAGTGGACACTTAATGCTAATACTATCCTTGAAACTTACTATGAGTCAATCACTGGTTCCAAACTTTCTGCATGAACTTATTTAAACATCTCAACTTCCCGGGGAGGTGCACATTTTACACATGTGAAACCAAAGCAGAAAGAGGTTGAGCTACTTGCCAGAGTTCACGCAGATAACAGCTGCTGTGTAGGCTTTATATAAAGACAGCCTCTCTGCTGTGCCCTTCAGCCAGCATGTCTAGGCTTTAGTTTTCTCATTAAGATAAGATGGGGATTTAACAACTTACCCAACTTGCAGAGATGTTGTGAAAATCCAATGAGACAAGGCACATGAAAATTCTTTGTACCCTATAAATTGTTCTCCAAGTATGAGTGTTTGCAAATGGTTTTATTTAGAGATTGTGGGTTTTTCTACTGTTATTACTAAAAGGAAAAAAGATACCAG